CAAAAAAGTACTCCAGAGTGTTGTTCAGCATGGGGGTGAGTAGAAAATGAAGGCTAATCATGTTTTGGGTGTACTATTCCTTTAAGCTCTGAACTGTGTCGTAAGAGGTTGTGGCGCTTAGGACTCATGAGAGTGAATGTGGATGAACATACCAGACCAGATTTTCTGCAGGGAACTTTCATAGCTCTGACTGAGATACACCACAGTTCCATTTTAGTCAGACCTCTGCTCTCCAGCTTGGACCCACAGAGAATGGTTTTATCAAATGTGGTGGGGGAGCGTAAACAAAGAGTATGTGATGTGAGCAGTGGATAACTTGTTGGGATCACAGAGTTGGACTATTGTTGTTGTTTGTGCAAAAAAGACATGCGACTAGCCGGTGTACTACACTACTTCTAGTACACAACTTTTCTGAAGTTCAAATCGACCGTGGTCAGTGGTAGAAAGATTACAGAAAGTTGGAGTGAACGTTTCGATTACACCGGGGAAATCCAATCGAGTCTGTCGAGCTTGTAAAACGCTGTTGAATAGACTGGAAAGATCTGCAAATTTATTGAAGGTGAAATGAAAACAAGGTCAAAGCAGGTGCCCCCTGAGAACGAACAGCTGCTGAAAAGAGGGAGCCTACTCCCTCGAAAACACAGAGATTTTAAGAAGCTCCGCCACAGCACAGACAAGCCAAGGATCTTCTGCAGAATATAGCCGAGGTAAGCTGACATTATCAGTATATAACAACGACCTGTGACGGCAAACCTATCTGCCTAATTTTTTAACAAAGTTGTGCACTGTAGCTTTAGTTAGCCTTGAAGTGCTTTCTCCAGCATTGCGCAACTTTGTCGTCACGCCCTCAAAACCCCGCCCACTTGGCATCCAAAAATTCCAAACACATCTTTGGGTTGTGATTGGCCTACCAGTTCTAGGGCCTGGGGTATTGATTGACGCTAGACCCACTCCCAGCCAAAAATGATTTCGGCCACAGGCGGGTGGGGCTTGTTTACTCGGCTAGGTGTTTACTGTATCAAAGCTGTAGAGACAGGCTCCATTTGATAAAGAGGACCATCTGGATTCACTTCGAGTCTCTCTGGCACCAGTATGACCCACACCAAACGGAACCAATCGGCGGGGTTTTACAGAGGTGCTGATGACTCTTCTAAATGTAGCAGTCTATGACTAGATTTTTTGCTTTCTGACTAAAATGCAGCAGAATCAGGAAATATTGGAAAAATGAAAGCGGAACTGACCAGCAGCAGCCTTTTTTGGTGACCGTCAGACTGGTTCCGTTGATGACCCTCTGGATGTCTCTGGCCAGATGTTTGCTCTGAAGGTTTACAGAGAGCGGAGTTCTGGAAAACACACAAAGACAGAGTGAAATGGATGTAAACTATGTCTTTACATAACAGACAGCTGTTATCTCAGTCCTATGTTTACATTTAATCACAGCCGCACTTTAAGAAATGGAAATGTCTCGAGAGCTGTACAAATTTGTTTGTTTTTTTATACCCCCTTTGTGTACAAAATTACAATAATGTTTGTCTAAGTCATCCATTTCCACACATACTAACATTAAACGTGTGAATTATTTCATTACTTTTTTCTCTCGTAGAAGTGTTTCCCGATGTGGGATGGCAGCAGGCGGCGGATCCGGTCATCAGAGAGGAACAAGTCAAAGTTTCCCAGCAGGCGCCGCTTGGCTTCATAAGGTTTATATTCTTTCTTCAGGGTTGTGAGTGGTATTATCTTGAGAAGGAAATGTAGATTTAATTATACGTCACCAACACTGTAAGGGTCCTTTAACAGCTCTACATGTCAAGGAGGTCAACATGGTTCTGCTAAGTACCTCTGAGACATTTTTGACTCCCCTCTCCTCCAGCAGCTTCTTATAGAACCTCTGACTCTGTTCTGGGGTCATTTTGGGCTCATCTTTGGTGAAGAGGCAAACCTCCTCTGTGTCGGTCCGCTGGCCATGAGGTAAAGGGCTGAGATCAGAACAAATGAAGTTAACAGGTATGAAAAACTGAGGAAACAACAAACAGGATCTTTAAGTTGACAGTGAAGTAAAGGGATGATTCAGCTTTTAAACACCTGGAGAAACAGATTAGCTGAAGGCTACTGGATCATTAGAAGAAAACAAACATTGTTCTGGTTGAAAACTTCACAAACAGAAGCCGCATTGGCTCGTTTTACTTTTATCCCTATTTAAGAAAGGGAGACTTAGCAGCTGAACAACTGTAGATGCCATGACGGCTAAATATTGATAAAAACGGCCATTGATATTTCCTTTTTTTTTTTCAAATGGCAGGGATGTGGCAAAACCATGTAATGTATCTTTCCAAAAAGATATTTTTTATAACTGCGTTTTGCCTTAAAATGTAATCCCAATATTAAATAAAAAAGGCTTCTTTTTTATTCTCCTTTTTTTTTTACACTATCGCAAATTAACTCTCTGCCTTTAATCCATCCCCTTGGGGAGCAGTGGGCTGCCATTGTGTGGCGCCCGGAAAGCAGTGTGGAGTTAAAGGTCTTGCTCAGAAGGTCAAACTCAGAACCTCAGGATTCCAAGCTCTACGCCCTAACCATTAGGCCGCCACTCCACATAGTTTGGATTATGGGCTAATATAATAAATAACAGAATGAGCCTTCGCCAGTAGGAGCTCCTGCTGATCGCTCACCATGTTTTTGATGCAGACATGTTTACATGGCTAAAAAGCTCCCTAGGTGCGCAGTGCAAAATTTCTGTCCGCACTGATGCAAAAATTATGCAATTGGGCAGTGTCAAGCATCAACATCAATCAATCATCTCGTTTCTTCTTTTCTTTTTTTTAAAGGACAGACCAGGTAAACGTCATTAATGTTGGAAACAGGACATACATAAAACACTGTACAGTACAATACTATATTTGTTTTATTATCCCATCTGTTATTTCATACACTTTCTAGGTGCACATTGGGAGACCACTTTTACTATAACCTTTTGCTCCTGTAAACAACACAATTATCCCATTGTGGGACAATAAAGAGATTTTCTATTCTATATTGAGCAGACGGGTTGTCAATATCCAACATCTATCTTATTTTATCATTACCTTCTTTCATAACTGTTGATTTCAGTGCTTTTCATACATTTAAGATTTTATTAAGAACCCTTTTCAGTGGGCCACAGTTTGCTAATCAGTTTTCCAGTTGAGAGATTCTCTGCAGCTCCTCCAGAGTCACCACAAACCCCTTGGCTGCTTCTCTAATGCCCTCTACTTGTCTGTTTGGGTTGAAGTCCGTGTTTTGGTCAATCCTCTGCCCAGGCCTAGAAGATCTATTCTGTCAGGTGTTCCACGTTTGGGATTTTTTGTAAGACCCTAACCCTTCTTCACAACTTTCTATCCGGCTTCTTGGCAAACAACACCGATTATTCTCCAATGTTCAAAAAGGAACGTGTGAAATGGTAAAAAATATCACGAGAAAGTGACTGCCGGCTGGACCATAAGGGTTCATGGACTCACATTCGTATTGTCTGAGTACTCCTGGGGACCTTCCAAAAGGTGAACAGGAGGCTGATCGGCTCCTTCTCGTCCAAAAGCAGAGCCTCTCCGCTGGACTTGGTTTTCAGGAAAGCCTGCAAGGCTTGGACGGCCTTCTTCACCTGTAAAATGCGGTAACTCCAGTTAATAGCGGACAAGCTTCACCACCTCCACTGATTACACCAAAAGAGAAAAGGGAAGCTAGCTTCCTCCTAGCCGAACTCTTCAGAGTACTGACCAGTGAAGCTACAACTTCGGAACCGCGTATCAGACCAAAAGTACAAAAAGTTCCAGAACAAAACTGAATAAATGCTTCATTTACGGTAAAATAACGAATGAATCAATAAAAGTAAAGAAAATTACCTGGGCCCGGTCTAACGTTGTTTCAGGTTTCTCCGCCATGCTGTCCGATTCACATGTGTTGAGGTTGCGCATGCGCGTCGATCAGAAAGGCAACCTACGTCACCACATATTTCTTCTTCTTCTTCTTATGTTTTTTATTGGCAGATGGCAACCAACGGAAGGTGCATTTACCGCCACCTACCAGACTGGAGTGGTGTCATCAAATTATTCATCAATTAATATCCATACAAACTCACATATAAATTAATATGTGTCTATATGCACATACATACACACACTTATATTCTTACTTTAAATACGAATAAATAATCCAGTGTTTTTTTATTTATTTAATTAAATGATTTCTAGCAGAATTTGATTAACTTCCTAAAAGGTTTATCATTGGAAATCCTTTTTTTTTCTCTATTTAGTGTTGACTTTAGGAGCTGACGTTCCTGTGAATATTTATCACATTCTAATAATCAGTGTTGTGCACTTTACTTTGAAAAAGTAATAAGTTATAGTTACTTCTCCCAAAAAGTAACTGAGTTACTAACTGAGTTAATCCACAATAAAAGTAACTAGTTACTAGTAAAAGTAACTATTGCGTTACTTTAGCGTTTCTTGCCCCCGTAACCCTCAACACCCGGTCCCCACCTTCTTGCCGTGTGTTTTAACGCCGTTACTCCCATCACTGCTAATAATACATGTTCCACTGTTTTCATCTGATCACAGTAATTACAAGTCCCTGTGTCATGTTTCCCTATTTTGAAAAGAGAACTATTAAGTCCAGTATGACCAATTCTAAGGCGAGATATGACTTCCTCTTCTTTCCTCTTTCCATTTGTACAACTATTACCCCCCACAGCCCTAAAACTGTATTAGTAGCACAAAACTGAATGAAGCACAAAACATAAACACTCGTTACCAAAGCCAAAATATTGGTACTCAGAACCTATCCTCACCCTCAGAAATAAAGTATGAGAAATGAATACAGTGTACCTCAACTATAAGCTTAGGCTTCAGCCTGCACCTTATATTATGACATATTTTGCTTTGAGGAAAGGTATANATCAGAAACATAAATTCCCAGCGGGCTGGGAATAGAATTTAACTATAGAATCACAACACAGACAAGCCAAGGATATCTGTCGCTCTTCCGCGGAATATAGCCGAGGTAAGCTGACATTATCAGCATATAACTACGACCTGTGACGGCAAACCTATCTGCTTAATTTGTTAACAAAGTTGTGCACTGTAGCTTTAGTTAGCCTTGAAGTGCTTTCTCCAGCATTGCGCAACCTTGTCGTCACGCCCTCAAAACCCCGCCCGCTTGGCATCCAAAAATTCCAAACACATCTTTGCGTTGTGATTGGCCCACCAGTTCTAGGGCCTGGGGTATTGATTGACGCTAGACCCACTCCCCGCCAAAAATGATTTTGGCCACTGGCGGGTGGGGCTAGTTTACTAGGCTAGGTTTTTACTGTATCAAAGCTGTAGAGACAGGCTCCATTTGATAAAGAGGACCATCTGGATTCACTTCGAGTCTCTCTGGCACCAGTATGACCCACACCAAACGGAACCAATCGGCGGGGTTTTACAGAGGTGCTGATGACTCTTCTAAATGTAGCAGTCTATGACTAGATTTTTTGCTTTCTGACTAAAATGCAGCAGAATCAGGAAATATTGGAAAAATGAAAGCGGAACTGACCAGCAGCAGCCTTTTTTGGTGACCGTCAGACTGGTTCCGTTGATGACCCTCTGGATGTCTCTGGCCAGATGTTTGCTCTGAAGGTTTACAGAGAGCGGAGTTCTGGAAAACACACAAAGACAGAGTGAAATGGATGTAAACTATGTCTTTACATAACAGACAGCTGTTATCTCAGTCCTATGTTTACATTTAATCACAGCCGCACTTTAAGAAATGGAAATGTCTCGAGAGCTGTACAAATTTGTTTGTTTTTTTATACCCCCTTTGTGTACAAAATTACAATAATGTTTGTCTAAGTCATCCATTTCCACACATACTAACATTAAACGTGTGAATTATTTCATTACTTTTTTCTCTCGTAGAAGTGTTTCCCGATGTGGGATGGCAGCAGGCGGCGGATCCGGTCATCAGAGAGGAACAAGTCAAAGTTTCCCAGCAGGCGCCGCTTGGCTTCATAAGGTTTATATTCTTTCTTCAGGGTTGTGAGTGGTATTATCTTGAGAAGGAAATGTAGATTTAATTATACGTCACCAACACTGTAAGGGTCCTTTAACAGCTCTACATGTCAAGGAGGTCAACATGGTTCTGCTAAGTACCTCTGAGACATTTTTGACTCCCCTCTCCTCCAGCAGCTTCTTATAGAACCTCTGACTCTGTTCTGGGGTCATTTTGGGCTCATCTTTGGTGAAGAGGCAAACCTCCTCTGTGTCGGTCCGCTGGCCATGAGGTAAAGGGCTGAGATCAGAACAAATGAAGTTAACAGGTATGAAAAACTGAGGAAACTACAAACAGGACCTTTAATTTAACAGTGAAGTAAAGGGATGATTCAGCTTTTAAACACCTGGAGAAACAGATTAGCTGAAGGCTACTGGATCATTAGAAGAAAACAAACATTGTTCTGGTTGAAAACTTCACAAACAGAAGCCGCATTGGCTCGTTTTACTTTTATCCCTATTTAAGAAAGGGAGACTTAGCAGCTGAACAACTGTAGATGCCATGACGGCTAAATATTGATAAAAACGGCCATTGATATTTCCTTTTTTTTTTTCAAATGGCAGGGATGTGGCAAAACCATGTAATGTATCTTTCCAAAAAGATATTTTTTATAACTGCGTTTTGCCTTAAAATGTAATCCCAATATTAAATAAAAAAGGCTTCTTTTTTATTCTCCTTTTTTTTTTACACTATCGCAAATTAACTCTCTGCCTTTAATCCATCCCCTTGGGGAGCAGTGGGCTGCCATTGTGTGGCGCCCGGAAAGCAGTGTGGAGTTAAAGGTCTTGCTCAGAAGGTCAAACTCAGAACCTCAGGATTCCAAGCTCTACGCCCTAACCATTAGGCCGCCACTCCACATAGTTTGGATTATGGGCTAATATAATAAATAACAGAATGAGCCTTCGCCAGTAGGAGCTCCTGCTGATCGCTCACCATGTTTTTGATGCAGACATGTTTACATGGCTAAAAAGCTCCCTAGGTGCGCAGTGCAAAATTTCTGTCCGCACTGATGCAAAAATTATGCAATTGGGCAGTGTCAAGCATCAACATCAATCAATCATCTCGTTTCTTCTTTTCTTTTTTTTAAAGGACAGACCAGGTAAACGTCATTAATGTTGGAAACAGGACATACATAAAACACTGTACAGTACAATACTATATTTGTTTTATTATCCCATCTGTTATTTCATACACTTTCTAGGTGCACATTGGGAGACCACTTTTACTATAACCTTTTGCTCCTGTAAACAACACAATTATCCCATTGTGGGACAATAAAGAGATTTTCTATTCTATATTGAGCAGATGGGTTGTCAATATCCAACATCTATCTTATTTTATCATTACCTTCTTTCATAACTGTTGATTTCAGTGCTTTTCATACATTTAAGATTTTATTAAGAACCCTTTTCAGTGGGCCACAGTTTGCTAATCAGTTTTCCAGTTGAGAGATTCTCTGCAGCTCCTCCAGAGTCACCACAAACCCCTTGGCTGCTTCTCTAATGCCCTCTACTTGTCTGTTTGGGTTGAAGTCCGTGTTTTGGTCAATCCTCTGCCCAGGCCTAGAAGATCTATTCTGTCAGGTGTTCCACGTTTGGGATTTTTTGTAAGACCCTAACCCTTCTTCACAACTTTCTATCCGGCTTCTTGGCAAACAACACCGATTATTCTCCAATGTTCAAAAAGGAACGTGTGAAATGGTAAAAAATATCACGAGAAAGTGACTGCCGGCTGGACCATAAGGGTTCATGGACTCACATTCGTATTGTCTGAGTACTCCTGGGGACCTTCCAAAAGGTGAACAGGAGGCTGATCGGCTCCTTCTCGTCCAAAAGCAGAGCCTCTCCGCTGGACTTGGTTTTCAGGAAAGCCTGCAAGGCTTGGACGGCCTTCTTCACCTGTAAAATGCGGTAACTCCAGTTAATAGCGGACAAGCTTCACCACCTCCACTGATTACACCAAAAGAGAAAAGGGAAGCTAGCTTCCTCCTAGCCGAACTCTTCAGAGTACTGACCAGTGAAGCTACAACTTCGGAACCGCGTATCAGACCAAAAGTACAAAAAGTTCCAGAACAAAACTGAATAAATGCTTCATTTACGGTAAAATAACGAATGAATCAATAAAAGTAAAGAAAATTACCTGGGCCCGGTCTAACGTTGTTTCAGGTTTCTCCGCCATGCTGTCCGATTCACATGTGTTGAGGTTGCGCATGCGCGTCGATCAGAAAGGCAACCTACGTCACCACATATTTCTTCTTCTTCTTCTTATGTTTTTTATTGGCAGATGGCAACCAACGGAAGGTGCATTTACCGCCACCTACCAGACTGGAGTGGTGTCATCAAATTATTCATCAATTAATATCCATACAAACTCACATATAAATTAATATGTGTCTATATGCACATACATACACACACTTATATTCTTACTTTAAATACGAATAAATAATCCAGTGTTTTTTTATTTATTTAATTAAATGATTTCTAGCAGAATTTGATTAACTTCCTAAAAGGTTTATCATTGGAAATCCTTTTTTTCTCTCTATTTAGTGTTGACTTTAGGAGCTGACGTTCCTGTGAATATTTATCACATTCTAATAATCAGTGTTGTGCACTTTACTTTGAAAAAGTAATAAGTTATAGTTACTTCTCCCAAAAAGTAACTGAGTTACTAACTGAGTTAATCCACAATAAAAGTAACTAGTTACTAGTAAAAGTAACTATTGCGTTACTTTAGCGTTTCTTGCCCCCGTAACCCTCAACACCCGGTCCCCACCTTCTTGCCGTGTGTTTTAACGCCGTTACTCCCATCACTGCTAATAATACATGTTCCACTGTTTTCATCTGATCACAGTAATTACAAGTCCCTGTGTCATGTTTCCCTATTTTGAAAAGAGAACTATTAAGTCCAGTATGACCAATTCTAAGGCGAGATATGACTTCCTCTTCTTTCCTCTTTCCATTTGTACAACTATTACCCCCCACAGCCCTAAAACTGTATTAGTAGCACAAAACTGAATGAAGCACAAAACATAAACACTCGTTACCAAAGCCAAAATATTGGTACTCAGAACCTATCCTCACCCTCAGAAATAAAGTATGAGAAATGAATACAGTGTACCTCAACTATAAGCTTAGGCTTCAGCCTGCACCTTATATTATGACATATTTTGCTTTGAGGAAAGGTATAAAAATAATTTTTTTTCTTTTGTGTAGTAATGTTTAAAGGTGTACTGGAGGATTTTCATAAATTTTTGAGAAAACCCTTCCTCTCCACTTAAAAAAAAAAAAGCACATGCACTAACATGCACTACCCTGTACCTGCTTCCAAGGGAACGCCTATCAAACACGTGCAAGAGAATGCACAAGCCCATTTCTGTTTAAAAGTTGCTGTTTTCATCTCTCATACAAGCTTTTTTTTTCCAAATGAAGATGTGCAATTTTTCACTGTTTTCACTCACCACCTGTAAGTGAAAATGTGGACGAGCATAACGGCCTTACGGAAACATATCACCAGAATGATTGACAGTTGGGAGGGCCACTTATTTTGATGATCCACCCGGGAAAAAGAAAATCCTCTACTATACCTTTAATAAATGCAAATGTATTGTATTTTATATTTATTACATTGTTTAAAACAATGTATGCCACAACGTCGTCTAAATAAGTTTATAATAAAAAAAAAATGATTTTGCAGATAGATTAAATTCAATGCTGCTGCCCTGGTTTTCTCATCTAACTGAACACACCCTTTAAGTTTGTGGAAGATGTTTATAAAATCAGCTGTTTCTTCAAAATGAGGGTCTATATAAAAAACAGACCCAACAGATGAATCTAGAATGTCATTGTAGTTCATGTAGAAGTCAGGTAATTCAGGCAATAGAGCCTGTGTTTATCAGACAGATGCAAAACTTTCATGTTGCTTTTTAGTTTATCTTTATAAACGAACATGGGGGTGAAGGGATGGAAGAACAACAGATAAATGAATTGATTAATGCCTGCAATGTCATTTATTTGAAAAATTATGTAAAACTTACTAATAGATCAAATGAATAATGGTTATTTAATTGGTTAATTAATAACTGAATGGATGAATAGAAGATTAGAAGACAAATGTGTGGATTTACAGACTAAAGGAAGATACATTAATTTTTTTTATATATCCAGACCTAGAACATGCAAACATTCCAGTTGGTGTAGAAATCTTGAAGTAAACAGTAAAAGCTATAAACGAGTGTGATTAATTAAAGCAAAGGCATTATTTTCAGGTTGATGCTTTATTTTCAGTTTCCATTAATGTAACAGCTCTGTGCGCCTGTTAATGTGAGGATGTTTCCATCCTGGGATCATCAGAGTAGTTCTGTGTGTGAGCTCAGTCCAGATAACCCATCTCACGTGGAGAGAGAGAACCAAAGCAAAAATTCTGGTGGACCATTCCCTAAAACCAAATCAAAGTGTCTGCAGGATTCTTAAACTCACTTCTAAGGTGGGAGATGCACTCTGAGTATAATAAAGAGCTAACTCTGATGTTTCTGCAGGATATAGAAATCATTCTGAAATGATTCTTCTTTAAACATTAACGACTCTGCATCAGCACCCACTCTAAAACCAAACGAGGTCCAGTCGATAGCCCAGTTGGCCATGGGAGTATTAGAGGGGTGGGGGGATGTTTGTAGCTACATTAGTGGCATAGCTGAGCTCTCAATATGAGAAAGCTGACACACTGGACTTGGGCTCTCATTCTATATATTGTTCATCATAAAAAACTGATTCAGTCTTGTTTTCTTTTTCTTCACATGACATGACTTTTATTCCTCCTCCTCCCTCGTTGGTGTTCATCTTATCTTCAACAAAGATGTTTTTAAAGAGAGAGAGAGAGAGACAGAGAGAGAAAGAGAGAGAGTAGCTGTCTGAGTCGGCTCTGGCAGCGTTTCCCCGCCGGGTAACAGGTGAAAGAACTCCATGCATGCTGGCGCTGGTGCATTTAGTCCTTTTCTGGAACAAGCTTCAGGACTTTGCCGATGGCGATAGTTTTACCTGGTAAGAAAGAGAATGAAGGTTAGCTTTACTTCAGATCACCCACCATTCAAATCATAGTTGGATGAATCCATGCTAAGCTAGGAATTATAAAAGAGGCTAAAAACAACAACACCAGAGGATACTTGTGATAGGACACCTTGGCAATGGTTCTGTCTGACTTCAACCAAACACTGTGCAACATCAGACATCACAAACACGAAAACTTTTCAAATTAAAATTATTAGAATCTTTCAAGCATCGTCTTTAAACGAAAATCTAAAATTAAAATAAAAAACAATTATGAATCCTGATTCTGCTTGAATATTAGTTAGGTCTAACCAAAATAAGAAATATCTTTAACTGCCTAGTTTTTCTCACAAACAAATGCTTGAGTTTAGTTCCACACACACACACACCCAACACACATACACACGCACCCAAACACATATATGTAAATATAAATGTCCAGACCTGGAAAATGATAAAAATGATAGCCTTATTCAAGCTTCATAGGAACCCTGCAAGCCTTAGCTTCAGTGACTTTGTTTTTCATCAGTTTTAGAGTTTCTTATTGTTTCCAGATATCGGCGCAAAATTAAGCAGCAACTCAGTTTAAAAAATGTGTCCATGGAAACAGCCAGGCTTACCCCCACCCGTGTGCCGTATCTCCTCAGCCAGTGGTGACGCCAACCAGAAATAAATAAATGCTACCTGAATCATACTGTCAGTTAGGAAGGAGCTAAGGCTAGGAAGCAGGATGCTACATGGTATCAACTAATTTAGCATAGGGACCTCCTGACATTCCTAACCCCTGCTTGGAACTATACGGTTGCCAATTGCGCGACAAAAATATAACTTTTTTTTGTGACATGCAGTCTGTGTGACACATGCTAACGTACACAACTTCATGTGTTTTGGGTTTTATAACTTCAACCACTTGCTACAAATTGCAATTTTGTTTTACATATTTTTTTTAAAAAAAAATATGTAAAACAAACATGATCTACGTCTCTCGGCTGGCCTGGGAGCGCCTAGGGCTTCCCCCAGCAGAGCTGGAGGAGGTGTCAGCGGAGAGGGAAGTCTGGGAGTCTCTGCTTAGTCTGCTGCCCCCGCGACCCGGTTCCGGATAAAGCGGGAGACGACGACGACGAGTATTTTTTTTTTAAATGAAGGCTGTAGTCCAAATTTGACCGGTTGGCATCCTTCATGCACACGTCCGTCTCATAACGACGCCCGTAAGGATGAAGGCTGTCTGGATTCAGAGCTAATTTCCTGCCCTGGATATTGTTTTTACTCTTAAAGGGGAACACAAAGAAGTTTCTTTGCAAAGAATGCGGCCTCATAACCTTCCTGTCCACAGAAATTTAGGACCTTAAGGATGGATTCTACAATATCGCACTTAACAAATAATTGGTATGATATAATTCTGGAAATAACTGAACATTGTAAGATACAAGTGATGCCTATCATGCATGCGTATCATGGCGCACACAGGATTCGATATAGAGTATGCCGCAATGAAGGCAAAGACTTAAGCCGCTATACGACAGAGAGACCAGATAACACATCAGAAATGTAAAATAAATCTATAAACTTTATCTGTAAAGCGAAACACCATAGAATAAAGCCAGGCATTGACTGTGTGATTTTTTTCAATCGTTATACTCAGCTACAGCTCACACTGTACGACGAAACCGCAGGGTTTCAAAGTTCACAGCTCCCAATGTATGTTCTCACATTGTGCTGCCCGACGCTCTGATGCGATCTAACTGCCCAATATTCAAATATGAAGCTCACTAGAGTGTAATACGCTGCCTTGGCTATCTGTGCAATTTTGTGTGCTGAAAGCCCTAAGAAGAATAGGCAACGACGTATTTGGACAAAGATATGGCTGAGCAAACGTGGCTACTACGGTCTGTCAATTTTACAGAAAGAACTCAATTTAATTTGCTTCTGGGTTTTCATCTGAGAGCAAGAAGTTTGCGCATACGAACAGCGATTTGCCCACAACCACCTTTCGACAGCCGACTGAATTTCAAAAGTTTGATTTTCTCCCCACCTTATGATTCTTGATCGGGAGGTGGTCGTGAGAGGCTAATTGCCCCTCGTTAACCTTAAAATATTGTAAAATTGTGTTATATTTGGATTATTTAATTTCATATTTATTTGGACACTTTCAGTTAACTTTCATCTGAGATGTGTTAATCAGGGATGTTCAGTATTTAGATAAACAAAGCTGAGTCTTTTCTATGTTAATAAAATACTTTTTATGCCTTTTATATTTGTTCTTTTGACCCCCGTTATTGAAAACTGTATAGATAATGAAATATCTTCCTAGGTATCAATAATCCAGTTTGAAATTTTAGTATTGCTACAACCCTACATGGAGCAAGGATAAATCTAATTTGCAGAAAGAGTTAGCATTAAACTAATATAGGAAATCCAAATATTAAACTGCAGATTTTTCCCTTTTAGATGTGATCAAGATTCTACAATCTGGTGGAGAAATAAATACCGTTTTCTGACACATAAAAAAAAAACAAATTAATATTTCCCAAAACCCTGCTTTATTTTAAAAGGCCTCAGATTTAAATTAGCTTTCACTTGAAAAAGGCAAAAAGAGAAAACAGACAGAAGAGCCCTTCTTACCTTCATCTCTTAGAGTGAATCGTCCCATCTGGGGGAAGTCCTTGAAGGTCTCTAAGCAGATGACCCCTGCTGCCCGGAGCCTGGCGATGCACACCTGGTCCTGCTTCACAAAGCGCGGCCGCGTCTTGCTTTTCTCTCCCGTCTTTTTATCAACCAGGCAGATTAATGCCTAAAGTCACAATTCCAACACTTTAATAACAGTACACAATGGCCAAGAGAATGATGAACAGCTGTTTTAACTCCCTTTACTCTTCATCATAGTTGTAGTTGCACAATTAAAATGATCATGTTTAAACTGATGCTGTTGTAGCACTGTCAGGGTTTGGTAAAACATGAGCAACTTACTGTGATTTGCACTTCTTCAATGCAGGTGTGGATGTGAAGGACTGCATTGTAACCGGGGCAGATGATCGACTTGTGCTCAATGATGACGATCTGTATATAAAAGGTCAAATGGGGACATTTTAGTGATTTTCAACACAGGTTTCTGCAAAAGGGGCATATGAGGATCACCGGGTCTCCATAGCAACTTGGATTGGAAGCCTGGCTTTTTCTCAGGAGAGACTAAGCTTTGTTTGGCAGTAAAATATCCAGAGGGGTTTGTTGCTAAGAGGGGTTATGAGGAAAAGGACCTCATGTCTGCTTAGGGAGTGTATGGTAGAGGATTGGTGATGCTGAAAGCCTGTTTCTCTCTAAAGAGGCCTAAAAAACTTGTAAGATATCATTAATATCACGTAAACTTTCATCAGGACCATAAACGGTATGACACATTTGACTTTTCCTGCAGAGTGATTGATCTGTAGAATTAATACAGGTGTGCAGCATCAGTCTCGGTTCTATTTAAGATAAATTAGCCAATATGTCACAGAAACAAATATTTAAGAAATAAGAGTGTTATATTTTGTATTGTAGCTCATTTTAAATAACTGGCATGGAGTTTTCTACCATACATTGAACTCCATCATGCATTATTGGTTGTTAGTTTTCTTCATGTGCTGTATATCAGTATTTTGGCCTGAAAAACAAAATATTTGAATCCCAATCATTCATTATATTCCTCATCTCTGTAAAACTGACAAGCATGAGTTTTTAAATCTAAAATTTAATAGATTTATTTCTCTGTGACTGATTTGATTGTTTGATGCTGACCTGGGCATCAAAGGTGCGTCCAGAATGGCACAGATTGTCCGGGCTGCACAGGATAAACCCAGGGAGAATCTCTTCCTCCTCTATTCCTTTCAGCCGCAGCTTCAGGTTCTCCCCAGGCGCCGCATCGTCCGTCTCCACGTCGTCACTGAGGAGGCTCAGTACCTCCACGGTGTGCTGCAACACAAACAAGCACAACTATGTGGTCCAGAAATGAAACAGAGCAAGCCCAGCTAGAATATGGATTTCAATGTTAATGCAGGTAAAGCACAAGATTAGAATATTAAGCAAAAGCTCAATAAATTTTGTCTATTAAAAACAAAACAAAAACAAAAGCGACTCATTTATGAACTTTTCTTTCATACAGACACAAATATGAAAAGTTTGCTGATCATGGCTTATAGATAAGAACATATTACAAAATTCAGGGTCTCAGAAAAATTGAATAATTTATAAGATTAGCAAAATATGATATTTCAAACAGCAATGTTAGGTTTCTGAACAATATATTCCTTTCTCTGTTCTCAGTAACTGGTTGGGTTTTTATTTTAAATGAATCAGAGCTTCTGTCCAGGCAGATTTGACAGCGGATCATCTGTATTGTTGGTTCTTGATGGCGTCTCTCCTCTTCCTCTTTATATTACATAGCTTCTCTATTGGGTTCTGCTCAGGCCCATTAAGCACAGTGACACTGTGATTAATCAACCAACTTTTGGTACCTTTGGCAGCAAAGGTTGATACTGATCTCCACAGCATAGGGAGTATGAAGTGCTCCAAAGGTAGACGGAGTTGGTTTTTTTGCAAATCCAATGGATCAGACCCAAAAGACATTATGTCACCCCAAAATCATCACAGATTGTGAAATGTTCCTTTGGGACTTCGAAAAAAGGGGATTCTGCACCTCTATATGTTTCCACAACCTCTAGGGCTTTCATTTCCAGTTGGAAAGACGACTTTAAACAATTGAGCAGCTCAGGTAAGATGCTTGCAGTTCATGTGTAGGACTGGGCCTGTGCAGAAAGATCTGACTCCAGCCTCAGTCTGCATCTGTGAAGCGCCCATAATTCTTCAATGGATGTCGCTCATCATATTTTGAAGTTTGAGGTTATCCTCCTTTTTTGTGCACTTTCTCTCAACTTTCTACAATCATTTGCATTAACTTCCCTTCTACCATTATATTCAGTTGTTTTCTTTTTTTTTTCAGTTGTACCATTTACTGCATGTAGCACCAGGCAGACATGTTTGTATTTTGTCACTCACCCTGTTTGGCATCATGACCAACTGCTGAGCTTTACTGATAGAGCCAGACTCCAACTTCCCGAGAATGACTGTGCCCATATCCTGCAACACATGGAAGAAAATCACTTTAAGTTAATGTTTTAAAACAGGAAATTTTAATAAATACAGGCTGTGATCAACCAAGAGGTGAGGAGGCTCAGAAAGGAGGAGAGGAAGGACAGACTGGAGGGAGAAGGAGAGGAGCTCACAAGGAAGAAGTCCTGGAAAATGTATACAATTAAATTCACAATTTTACATATTGAGCTCATTTAGAGGCTTATTTGCAACTGGTTCTGCAAACAGTATAAAATAACAATGAAAAAAATGTCTTGTCGTTCTTCAGCTCTGCTCACAGGTTGCTCCATTAACTTATAGTTACAGCTTCACCCAGTTAACTAAACTCTAATCCCATTAGTGTGGAGAACACCAGTTAATGCTGCTTAGTGATACAGCTGCTACACAAGCAGTTCTAAAGCCACCAGGAGAAATTCATAAAACAACACAAAGATGAGAGGAAGATTTTAAAAAAGCTGAATGAGAAAGTGAAAGCTAGAAAAATCCCACAGGTATGCACAGCGTGTCTCTTCCAAGACCGAAAACAAAACAAGCGCCAAGAAAGTGGATTATCTAAAGGAGCGACTGCAGCAGGCAGAGGCCTGAACCAGCATCTGTTAGAGCATGTTTGTGTTTTTAATCTGTCGAATAGAAGAAGTACGTTAGGCAACCAAAACCAGGAGACGTTATAAACTCCGAGCTGATGAAGAAACACCGTAGAGGATAAGCAAAAGATGTCTTCTGCTCACCTTGTATTTGTCCACGATTGGTAGTCTAACGGGTCCGTCGCTGGATCTGTTGAAGTTTGGCAAACTGTCCAGGTGGGGAATAAATGGCAAACCTCTGAAAAAGAATAAATTGAAGTTGTGATCTGGATTCGATTCTTCAATTCATATTTCTGTTAAATGTTTGCTAAAAAAAAACTCTAATTACTTTTGTTTTATTTTTAATTTTTACTAGATCTAGCTTGTGCTTTGAGAAGGTTGCAAGTACCGGTTCAATCCCCACAGCCTCCATTCTGGGTCCCTGAGCAAAAACCTTAACCCCACAGTGCTCCCCGAACACCCCACAATGGCAGCCAACTGCTCCCCCAGGGGATGAGTTAAATGCAGAAGTAAATTTCTCCAGTGTGAGATCAATAAAGTTCAGTTACTATTATTATTATTATGACCAACTGATGACCATCATGATGGGTGGATGGATAGATTGACCAATATTTCTTTTTCCATTCATTTTCTCATATTAATACCGGTACTTAATTCAGATTTTATACAGAACAGAAACCTCTTCTTGCCGGACTTTAGGGAAGGATTTAGTGTTGTTACACCTCCTGCCTTGTTCCAGTACCAAACAAAATTCTGCCTAAATTATTCTAGACAAGCAGCTATCAGGAACCCCTGCACTTAGCTGTTGACTGTATTTACATATGTGTTATTATTGGTGTATTTATACCTTAATTACTTACCACATACATTTCTGTAAGTGTTAAATTTTTTATACATAAGGCTATTCACTTGTTTGCAAATCGCCATGTTGAACGTACAGATGTCGACATACAGTAAAACTTTACTAACGCGCAGAAAAACAGGTTTCCCCTTCCTGGCAGTTCAGAGTGATTGAAAGGTGACTGTGTTTGGAGACGCTAACCCAACAACTGAAAGTCTGCACTATTACAGCACAATGCAGGACTATGCAAAAACAGCAGCACAAGAAACAGTTTCACCATCCCTAAGAAAGTGAACAAGACAACGACACCTGAGACAAAAAAAAAAAAAAATAGGATAAACAAGGCCGCTCCAGGTGAGAGGAGCTGATGAAGGTGAGAGATTTTAAGTGGACGCTGGTTACCATGTTTCTCCTTAACAACTGCTACTGCTAAAATTAGCGCAAAGCCAAATTTTTCCATTGGGTTTAATAAGAGACTGTTGCTTGTTAGCATAGAAAGCATATTAGTAGCTAGCGCTAACATATACCTATGTTCTTGATACAGAACTTTAGTTTTATGTGGGTTTGGTAGCTTTGAAAACTGTGGTGAAAGCTGGCTTTTTGCCACAGTAAATACTAGCTTTTAGAGAACTCTGATTAACATTGCTATATCTGCGTTATTGAGGAGAGCATTGCCACAATACATGTTTGAGGCAGTGATGCACTATGGTTTAGTGTTGGTTTGAGTGAAAACCCCCCATTTCACTACTGGATGACAGTAATTCAGTAAAGAACAATATCCCTTAAACAACATTGTCAGCAACAATAATATGAGCTCTGTTGTTTAGGAAGGTGCTACCTGATGTCCTCTGATTCACACACTGAACTCAGTCTTTTTATATTTAGTTCTGTTTTTGTAATTTGCACTTCAGGGACCAAAGCCTTGTTCTATTTTTCAAGCCTGCACTTAAAAAAATGAAATTGTCCAGAGAGCTGTTCTTAACGAAATTTCTTTTTGTTTTACACTTGTGTAACAAAATGACAAATAAATCTGTCTTAGTCTAGTGCTGAAAAAAAACAACAACATTTTTTTAAGTTAGTGTTAAAAGCTAAGAATTTGATAAAAAATGAATAAATAAATAAAAAAAGGCAGAAACCAAAATGAATTTAAGTCGTTGCAAAGTATTAATAGGTGCTTTACTCATCATTCTATCATCCTGAAACTGGTGGTAGTATGAATAAATCCATCTGATGACCTCTGTTTGGCGAGTAAAGTGTCTTTTTACCTAATTGAAGTCATTTCTCACCCTTGAATCTCTAATTTGTCCTTTTTCTTTTGATTTAAATCCCTTTTATCTCATCAACCAGATCTTTAAGCTCATCTTGGACTATTTTTTTTTACTTTGGCTGATCCAGAGTGAAAACTTACGTGTACCAGGGGCACTCAGGCACGGGGTCTTTGAGGTTGGCACCTGTGAGTCCAGAACAAGGCATAAAATGGATGTCCTTCTTAGGGTTGAAGCCCACCTTCTTCAAAAATGGCACCAGCTTCTCTTTACACTCCTCATACCTGCACAAAGGCAACAAGAGGACTCATTTAAGGTAGATATAAAGACTGCATCAGGACGATCCTTTTTGCTTTACATCCAAAGATTTGGAGAACGTCTTGAGGTTGTTATGAATGTTCTGGTGTCTCTGTGTAGGACCGAGTTGAAGAAACACCTCAAACCTGTTTAAGCTTACCTCTCTAGGCTCCAGTTCACAGTGGGGTCATCCATCTTGTTGACCAGAACAATGAGATGTTTTACTCCGGCCGTTTTAGCCAGCATGGCATGCTCCCTCGTCTGTCCACCCTTTTCAAATCCCGTCTCAAACTCACCCTTTCTTGCCGAAATTACCTGAAATAAACAGGATAAGTCAAGGTGAGGCAACAAGTCAAGTAAGCAGATTTATACTTGAATTCTGTTGACACAGAAAATAACCTGCAGATGTATTTATACCTACAGACTTCAGGGGGATTTCAGGCGGCAGATGTAGTGTACGATTGTAAAATGCGAGGATAGGTCAAAATGGATGTTCTGTGGACATTTAAAACAGGGTTTGATTTTTTTTAAAACTAATATATGAAGCTTTGAACGTGTCCCAGATCTTTGTTCAGTCCATCATCCAAACATGGTAATGGTAGGAATGTTGAACCTCGTTAAACAGAAACATTTAAACTTAAAAGTTTTCCTTTTTAAAAGTGGCAGCTTTGTGATTTCAATGAGGTTGTTGTTTATTCTATTGTAGGTCGGCATAATAATTAGTTTGCAAATCAATTAATCTGTCGACTATTTTTTTCGATTAATTATCGGAAGTCCAAAGGTTACTTAGAGAAAATTTAACACAGAATTAAACCTGGTGAAGCTAAAACTTTTCCACTTAGGGAGTTCTGGATAATTTTTTTTTTTTTTTTTTATCTTAAATGGAAAATATTTCTATATATGTATTGCAATTTTGGTATAGTTACTACTTCATTGGTATAAGCAGGTCGCTCTGTCAACTAAAGGCAGGTTTTAGAATCTCTACTCCAGTTAACAATTAATTGATTGCTACAGTAGTTGACCATTATTTCAATAAAAGATTTATCACAATTAATTGTTTCAGTCCTATTTTATAGCAACATGTAATTTACCCTACACCTTGAGTAGATGTCTAGACAAATTTAGCCTTTATGGAATAAAGTCAGCATTAAAACTATGTCATGTTCACAGCTAAACACGGTGGTGGCAGAGTTATGCTGAGGTTGGAGCAGAACAAACAGCCCAAACACAGAGAATGGTTCAGGTCACAGCATGGCCTAGTCAAAGTTTTGAATTCAAAAGCTATTTTCAGTCAATTAAACTTGAATAACTTTGTAAAGCCTGGTACAAAGGTTTGATCTGTATATGTTTGAAGTAGCTGGGGACAAAACCTAAAATATGATACTACTGGATCAGCTCAGCTACTGTTCAACTATTCATTTGAACAAAATGTGAGAATAAAATTATTCTAGGAGGTCAAAAACCTTGGAATGGATTCCCACTAACTCTATGTGAGCAACCTGTGCAGTACTTTGATTGCTCCTCACCAGAACAGCTAGATCGGCCTGCGACGCTCCCCCAATCATGTTGGGGACGAAGCTCTTGTGTCCCGGAGCGTCCAGGATGGTAAAATGTTTTTTCTCCGTCTCAAAGTAAGCTCTCCCGACCTCCACTGTCTTCCCTTTGTCTCTCTCCTCCTGATTTGTGTCAAGAGCCCACGACAAATACCTGCAACGACAGAGTGTAACGATTAGACTTACGTAAAACCATTAAAGAGCTAGAACCAGATGATAATCAGTCACCATGTCTCCCGGTTCTTTTCTTTAGCTTCTCGTTCATATTTTTCCAGGGTTCGCTTGTCCACCATTCCAGTTAGGTACCTGAAAACAGCGACATAAAGAAAAGCGTTAAATGGATTGTTTGAACTGTTGACATATAAAAAAAAACATGAATCCAAAATCAAACCACTCACATGATCTGTCCTCCAATGGTCGATTTACCAGCATCTGATAAAAAAAAAAAAAAGAAAAAAACGTTCAGATGAATAAAACTAAAGGAAGAAGATGTATTAATATAAACAATCCATACGCACCGACATGACCAATGAAGACCACGTTCACATGCTCTTTCTTGGGTGCATCAGGCGGCGGTGGAGCCACCTTAGGAATGGGTATCTCCTCCTCTTCTTCCTCCATCATCTCATCGTCTTCTTTCCCAGAAGCCCCGGCCTCTTCGCATCCTCCCTCTGTTCCAAGACCTTCGTGTCCCCCACCTCCCTCTCCTCCCCCGGGCTCCTCCTTCTGCTCCCATGTTTCCTCCTCCACTGTCATGTCAGCCTCTGTGTTTCCATTCTCCACTGGAGCTGCAACCACAAAACAAGTCTCTGTTAAACCACGCCCCCAAACCATGGTAAAAGAAAATAAACAACATACAAAGTCATTATCAATCATTTGAAAGAATGTTCTACGTTATCATATATTTAACAGGCTGAAAGAATAAAGAGTTTCAGACCTCTCTGGCCATGGCTTTCACTTACAAGCAGCTCACAAAACTGCAAGTAAGCAATCTATTTAGTACTCTGTTGGGAGGGTAAACAATCAAGGTGGTAAACGTCTCCTCAGATAATGTAAAATAGATATCCTGCAATCATGTAGAATGTAAATTGGCCTAAATACAGACAAAAAAATGCTCTCCTGTGGTGCAGGTGAATATTTTTTGAATTATTTAGCCATTAGGAATTAGGAAAGATTAGGAACATGAGAGAAACACAGGATAAACCAGGGAATTAGGGGGAGAGGCAGCCTAGTGGTTTAAGCATAGAGCTTGGAATCCTGAGGTTCTGAATTCGAAGCCCCACTCCCACAGTCTGCCACTCTGGGTCCCTGAGCAAGACCCTTAACCATCACAGTGCCCCCAGGCACCCCACAATGGCAACCTACTGCTCCCCAAGGGGATGGGTAAAATGCAGAGAGTTCATTTCGTTGCTCTGTACTTTTGACAGTGCAGTAACAATAAAAAGCTGGAAACAAAACATGGAGGGTAGGAAGAACCAAAATTATTTCTTTACTTTCAGTAAAATCAATAAAATATAAGAATGGCATTGGATGTTGATATTTGTGAAACGGGAGATTAAAAGAAGAAGGAGAGAAATTACTAATACTTGATGTAATTTGATGTAATTATTCCATGCTGAAATAAACACATAAAAATTTTTATAACTCATATTTATAATTAATATTTGTATTTAAAAACAAATTATTTAGTTCTTTATAGTTTTTTTAACTATGGTTTAGATGGTCTCGCCAGTAGACAGCTGGGGTTAGGCACCAGCACCCCTCGCAACCTCACTTAGGATAAATGGATGGGTGGATGGTTTATAGAGAGCAAAACACAAGAAAAATAAAAACAAAATGTAAAACTGGAATGAAGTGGTACAGACTTCTATTAGTCACAATTATCAACAGCTAAATGGTTTAAATACAGAAACAGGAGAGGCCCCCAAACGGATCATCTGCCTCTCCTTTTGCTCCAGAGATCAGTATTTCAACCAGCAAAATGAGAAATATGCAAAAATATTTTCATGTTGCTCTGTTGGACACAAAAGAGGCCAAGGCTGCAGAACTTGCTCCACATCACAGCAAGTGTCAACTGGATGTCTATTCTGGGCAGAGAGGTTGCATCATTTTTTTTTTTCTACATGGAGCCACGCACATGGACCTTCCATAGGCAAACACCCAAATATGGTGCAGCAATCCACACTACAGGTTGGGTCACAGGGTGATCTAAAACGCGTGGGGATTTAAATCTGGTTGTGAATGAGTGCATCTGAGCCCACGTCCACGCTTGTTATCTGACACACTCCCAGACAGTGCGATCAGAAACAGAACATGTGGTGGGTCGCATACCGGCTGTGTCTGCCACCTCCATGTTTGCAGCTGGTTCAGGGGGACCTGTAAGGGCAGAAAACAAAGCCGAACTTTCAGAAATATATTTAACAGCATATTTGTCTCATTCTACGTAATAAGCTGGGTGTGTCTTGGTTATAGCACATTAATTACACTTATACAACCCACGAATAAAAAGCGGGCTTGTTTATCAGTGAGGAGAAACGTTGTTATCTTAAGCAAAGCTAACTTAGCTGTATTAGCATGCAAGCTAAGCTGGGCTAACTTCCAGTCAGCTGTCTGACACCAACCCACCGTCTGAGCCCGGCATTTCGGCGTTGCTGGCCTGAAGGAAGCTCGGTACAAACACCGGGGCATTCACATTGGGGACAAACGGCTTGGCGTTGACATTGAGGGCAGCGAAGGCGGCTGGGAGCTCCGCCGCCGGAGCTGGGGCCTCGGCATCCTCCTCCAGCTCCCATGAATCCGGGGCTGTGTCTCTCGGGTCCATGGCTTCTTCTTCCAGAGTTAACAACTTTTCCGCAACCGTCCGAGGTCGGCTGTTTTTTATTGTTCGGACTTTCTTTCAGAAGCGATAAGTTGCTGGGTTTTTTTAGACGCTGATGAACCGGCTCAGTGAAGTTCCCATAACCCTCCAGAACCGGGCTTTGATCGGCATATGGATCTCTGGACTGACGGTTAGCTCTGCACGCACAGCAAGCTGCACGACCTGCAAACACCGCTGGGGGGCAGCATCGCACCACTGCTGGATATTAAAATGAAACCAACGAATTAAACATATTTCACTATTTAAAGTGAACTACCAGAGGCGTAGCCAGAAATTTTGTATAAGGGCGTCCAGGCATAATCAATGCACACTGAGGGGGGGGCCGAAATTGACTAGATAACCAGAACCTCAGGGTCAATCTACACTGTTCCATCAGGAAAATTAACGAGCAAAACATCCATATTTTCTTAATAAAGCCAAACTATACTTTCCTATAACCTTTGCTAACAAGTAGACATATGTATTTAAATATCCATAATTTCTAGATAAAAGGCATAGTGACAGTTTTAAGTTTTGGAGCGTAAATCTTTTCCATTGTCATTACTTACCTACTTGTATTATTAAACATTCTGCATAAAATTGATATTTACAGGCACTAATATCTACATAAATTGATTATTGCATACATTTTTAAAAAATTGTTATTTATCTGTGATTTCACTAAAGACTCCTAGATGACTTGCATTTTCTCTTTACCCCATATAACACAAAATCTAATTCTGAAAAGAGCATGAATTCTGTACTTATCATATTTCATATTGATGTGTATAATTAACCACAAAAAAATAAAATGTTTTGAATATTCCAATTGAGAGTATTACTGCTGCCACCATCTGTATTAGAGGTAAAAAAATGGTAGGGGTGGCCACAGGGGTGCCCAATGATTAGCTGAGGGTGGCCATGGCCACTCCTGGCTCCCCATCTAGCTTCGCCCCTGCAGCTAGAGTGTGTTGAATAACAAAAGGGCAATTGTTATTTAAACCTACGTGGTTTTCCTTTTATTCTTTTTATTTAATATAATTTGTGGTGGGTATTTAATCCTCACCAGCTTTGCTCATAAAAAGACAGAACTTTACAAACTAGCTCAACCTTAGTCAGATTGAGAAAAGAGAATCGTGAACAGAACACTTATTTTAAGGTCTTGCAACACATTCTCAGCTGGACTTAGTTTTGGACTTTAACTAGGCAGCTAATCTGATCTGAACCATCCTATTGTAGCTCTTTCTCTGCTTAGGAAGATTATTCTGCAGAAAGGTGAACCTCCATCCTAGTTATAGCCCGTTTTCAGCCACTAGAAGCTTGTATTTCAGGAATATCTAAGATTTACTTCCAAAATAAATAATAATAATAATAATAATAAAAAATGGGAGTGCATATGCACAAGTGTATATGGCTACTCTATCCTTGTGTTTTTTCCTGCTGTTGTTACATATTTAACTTATTGATATGATGTGATCGATAGAAGCTAAAGTCAAATCCCTTGTACTTGGCCAATACAGGTGATTTTGATTCCAAAACCATCTTTGTTCCTGCTATAGCATCATACATAATGATGCTATTACTATGTGTAATCATGAGGGTGTTGTACAGTTTTAGTTTTGCTCAACAATGTTTTGTTAAAGAAGACGGCCAGAACATATCTCTATGATCTTGTCTACTAACAAGATATTTGAGCTGGACCCCCAAAACATTTGGTGTCTTAATGCATAATTACAAAAGATATTAGTGTACTTGTTTAATTACAATTCTTTTTAAAAGTTTATTAATGTTCTTGATTTCAGTGACATAATAAAAGTAATTCATTTTTCATAACTCTTCCCCTTTTGTTCATGAATTCAGATTTGCCAATTTTTTTTGTCTAACTGTTGTCTGGACACCTGTCTTTACTGGCCTGTTTACACTCATATCTAAGAAGCATTTAAACACCAATTAACCTTTGCTGTTTTTCTAGACTTTTGGGGGTTAGAGAGCCAACACATCAAGGGGTAGGACATGCAAAAACCAGGCAGAAAGACTCCAGGCTATAATTCAAACCCAGCTGCTTTTATTAATTCCAACTCACATAATCCACATGTCTTCAAAGAGCTATTTTAGATACTAATGGCTTTAGTGAAGGATTTCTAGTAGAAGTCAGTATTGCAGTATGCAGGTGAAGATTCTCAGTCAAAGAAAGTTAAAAACAATCCACTGGACTTTGTTTCCAATTTTGAAGACGTTTTGCTTCCCATCCAGGAAGCTATTCCCGACAGTTTGAATTGAAAAAGCTTCCTGGATGGGAAGGGAAACGTCTTCAAAATTGGAAACAAAGTCCAGTGCATTGTTTTTAACTTTCTTTTTTTGGAATCAGTATTGCAGTCTTTGTGGGAACTCTAGAAGCTCTCAAGAATTCTCCTCTGTGTTCTTAAATCAGAGAAATCATCTCAAGTGATTCCAGAACACACCAACCCTTCTTTATCAGCTTGTGGAATTTTTAAGGGTAATATGGACTCTGCAAAAATTGAGAAATTAGACCATCTAATTTGGTGTCTGACAAATATAAAGTGGATGAACTGAGGACAAGCAAATAAGAATTTCCATGGATTTCTCATTAATTCTTGTGGCATATGATGAAATGTCTCGACTAGAAAGAACTTTAATAGAAATAACTAGGGATAACTATATATATATCACCC